ACAACCTTCTTTCTTAAGCAGCTCCGCCGCCGCCCCAACCGCTCGGCAGTTGTTGCGTTGTTCCTCTTCGGTCGCCCTTGTGAAGCTTCAGTATATATTTCATCCAGCAGTCCAGCAGAAACCCCCGTCGACGAGCATCGCCCGCGGTCCTCCCGCGGTTCACTCATCTTCCCCAGACCGGTCAACCCTCCTCGCCCGACATCCTATTATACTGAGGCACACATACAGCAGTAGCCTGGATGAAGTAACGCCGCGACCCCCTCCCTCCCATCTTAAGGGACTCTGTCCATCATCGGCGTGACGATGGTGACGCTGCGGACACTGGCGTCCGCTCTCGCCAGAGTCGCACTGTGTGCACCTTCGTCGCTGGGTATGTCTCGTTCCTGTCGCCGCCCGCCATCTCGGCGTGCCTCCCGCATGTGGCTGCGGCTTCGTCTCGGCGCAGCATCACAACTGACCGCCCCCGTGCTCAGCATTCTCCGTCAAGCGAAATCCCATCGGCTACCTCTCCCTCGTCGATGACCCGGTCATCAAGACCCCTTCTCACCGCGCTCACTACCTTTCCAAATTCGACCTCACATTCACTCTTCATGATGGACGGCAAAGTATACGGCTGGCCCTCGACCCCAACGACGACATCTTGCACGATGACTTTGCCATCACCCTCATGGGCGAGGACGGCACCGTGCGTGACGTGCAAAAGGTGCCGCGGACAGAGCACCGTGTTTACCGCGGCGATGCCTTTATCGAGCGGCCCAGCCACCGCGGCTGGTCCAAAGCCGGGTGGGCGCGAGTGACGATTCATCGCGACGGAGAGCACCCCGTCTTTGACGGCGCATTCCGCATCGACGGCGACAATCACCACATCCAGACCGCTGACCAGTATCAGAAGCTCCGGGGCGACGATGACCCTGTTGTCCAACACCTGGCTGATTCTGAGGAACGTATGGTAGTCTGGCGTGACTCGGACGTTGTGAACTTTTCCGACGAGCACAACGAGCTGAAGCGGAGTGTTGGCGACGAATCTCTCTGCAACGCCGACACACTCAAGTTCAACAGCAAGTTCCAAACCGAGTCACTGAGCCACAACACACTACCCGGCGTCGATTTCCGGTCCTTGTTCGGTCGTCAATCCATTGATGGCGGTGGCGACAGCGGCTCCGGCTTGAATCTCTTGAACTCGATTGGCTCCGTCGATGGATGTCCAACCACGAGAAAGGTCGCTCTCGTCGGCATCGCCACGGACTGCAACTACTGGGATGGCTTCGACAACAAAGAGGCCCTCACCAAGAACGTCATCGGCATGGTGAACAAGGCATCCGAGGTGTACGAGAGCACCTTCAAGATATCACTGGGCATCCAGAACCTTACCATTCTCGGCAAGAATTGTCCCGCCACAGCGGCGGCCGCGACGCCGTGGAACGTCGCATGTGCCCCGCAGACGACTATCAGCGATCGCCTCAATACCTTCTCCAGGTGGCGCGGCCAGTTCAAGGACGACAACGCCTACTGGTCCTTGCTCACCAAGTGTGCCACTGACTCGACTGTCGGTCTAGCGTGGAGCGGACAGCTGTGTCGAGGCTCTGGCGATAACAGCAACGGCAAGGGGAACGAGACGGTCGCCGCGACCAACGTGGTCGTTCGGACGGATACCGAGTGGCAGATCTTTGCCCACGAGACAGGTCACACCTTTGGAGCAATCCATGACTGCACGAGCTCCACCTGCCTAGCAGACAAGTCGAGGCGTCGGTGCTGCCCCCTGAGCCGGACCAGCTGCGACGCGGGAGGCAAGTTCATCATGAATCCGTCGACAGGCAGCGGTATCACCCAATTCTCCGCGTGTAGCATCGGCAATATCTGCTCCAGGCTCAAGTCCAACATGATCAAGGGCAACTGCCTTACGGACAACAAGAACGTCAAGACCATCACGGGCAGCCAGTGTGGCAACGGCATCGTGGAGAACGGCGAGGATTGCGATTGTGGCGGCGAGGATGGATGCAAGAACAGCAAATGCTGCAACCCCCAGACGTGCAAGTTCCTCAACGGCGCCGTCTGCGACGCGAGTAACGAGGACTGCTGCACAGACCAGTGCCAGTTTGCGTCCAACGGCACCGTCTGCCGCCCCAGCACCGGCGTCTGCGATGTCGAGGAAGTCTGCCCGGGCAGTCACGCCAGCTGCCCGGAGGACAAGCACAAGAGCGACGGCGACTCCTGTGGGAGCGGCCTCCAGTGTGCGTCTGGGCAGTGCACGTCGCGTGATCAGCAGTGCAAGAACATGGCCAGCAGCTACTCAGGCAGGAGCAACACGTCGGCCTGCCCGGAAAGTGGCTGTCTGCTCGCCTGCACATCTCCAGAGATGGGGCCTGACCAGTGCGTCACCTACAACCAGAATTTCCTTGACGGGACGGACTGTGGCGCCGGAGGGAAGTGCTCCAACGGGTCGTGCAGAGGCGCGTCGACGGCCAAAGAGATTGGCGACTGGATCCAGAACCACAAGGCCATGTTCATCTCCGTCGTCTCTGTTGTTGGTGGCCTCATCCTGATCGCCATCCTCAGCTGCATTGTGAGCGCGATCCGGAAATGTTCGCACCACGGAAAGCAGCCTAAGCCGCCCAAGATGAGCAACTGGCCCTCGTACAATGCCGGCGGGCCAAACTGCAGGGCCCAGCAGTGGAACCAGAACCAGCAATGGACACAGTCGTCTAGCGCCCTTCAAGGCGGCCAGGGCCCTCCTCAAAGCTTTTACTCCTACCCGCCTCCCCTCGCGATCGACAGGGAGAGGTGGTTGAACCGACAGCGAAGCATGAGATACGCATAGACAGCTAACGGGGACAGGGAGGTCCCCGTTTCTTTTTTGTAGGGTTTTGCCTTGTTTGGTTCATTTTTTGAGGCAATTGCTAGACAGGCCGAACCATTTTGCTAGGGGGCCGCGTTACGGGGTACGGTATGGCATGGCATGGCATGGCATGGATTTATTACGCCCGGAGGGAAGTCCCGATAGGGCCTCAACACTACCTACTTGACTGTCTGGTTCGTTTAGTACGTGACACCCCAAGCCCCACAGATAAAACGTCGCACCGCTTAAAGCCAACCTCGTCGTTCTTGATCCATGACAGGCCTGCTTGAAGGCCAAGTTCTCCAAGTGTTCAGCATCCTATGCTCAGCAACTGAAGCACAGTATGCCAAAGTCGAGGCTGTTTTGTTAGTATAACTAGTCACAAGTTAAAGATGAGCGTTCTGAGTGACGCCGCTTGTTCGCAGCCTTTGCGACGCAATCGCAAATTTGATCGTCGCACGTACGGCCCGCATGTCCGGTCCCCACTTGTCGTTATCTCCCCCAGCTTTGCCTCCCAAAAAGAAAGAGAGATTGCCAATGTTTGTTCGTGAGCACGCAAAGAGGATTTCCCGATTTCCTGTCCACTTCCTGCACCGGAACAGGAAGTGCTCTTGTGAGGGAACCATCTAGTGCGTGCATATTTTATGCATGTCCCACGTTATGACAATTGTACTAGTTACTAGACAAAGTGAGAGTGTCGCAAAGAGAGTCAGCCTTATGTTGCATAACATCTGCACTCAGAATATTTGTCCGCGGAAGCCAATGTATAATCCGTGTATTAAGGTCGAGCGCATGCATGCGCTGTGCTTTGACTTCGTTGAAGTCAAAGCTCAAACACTGGCTGCATATATCGCGATACCAGCGTCAATTACATGGACTCTGCAGCACAAAGCGAATCTTTCTTTTGTGTATAAAGAGCAGCGCACGACAGTGCGCTTACAGATAGCTCTTAAAAGATAATTCTCATCAATTAGCACGATGCCAGCTGTGATCCCTGTGGAGCCAATTGTCTGACAGAGAGCTTTCCTTACGAAACTCTTACTCTCCCCTTTCTCCCCTTGTAGACAATCACTTTGCTCAAGTCGCACTCGACCTTGTTCGTGCCTTGTCCCGTCACAAGCGTCAACTCCCCGTATTCCGAGGACGACTCGCTAACGCCTGATAACCCGCTGGTGCAGATGGTGGATGGTGCGTGTGAAGCTCTGGACTCGATCGGCCGCACAGGAAACCCGGCGCTATCATTCAAACGCTGGGCCCTCGATGCAGGCTTCACCAGAATCGAGGAACATCACTTCAGGATGCCAGTCGGCAGTTGGCCCAAGGACCCGCGACCCAAAGAGATCGGTACTTTCCTCAGCGTCAACATCGTGGAAGGGTTCACTGCGGTCTTAAATGGGGACGTCTTGGGGTGGTCGCGACAAGAGATGGAGGTTCTTAACGCACGTGTGCGGTCGGCGCTCAGCGCCAGAGGTGTTCATGCAATCTTCGACTTCCTTGTCGTGACGCGCATGAAACCACGGGAATGAGAAGATGCGCATGGAGCCACGGAAGTACGAACGCCGTACCCGCTCCCTGCCTCCAGCGGGCTTGAGTCTTAGCACGCATGCCGAGGCCAGAGGGCAGGCTTGCAAACAGATAAATCGTAGGAGGACAAAATGTATCGAAATCGCAACCGCAGCTGCCATTGAAGTATACATGCCCCTGAACTTCGGTGTGGTCATCGGGTGGTTTCGCGTCTTCAGAAGGGGGTTGTTCGTCGTGTAGGTTGTAAAATTCGACGTAATTGGTAGGGTACAGTTCAGGATATGTGGGATTGTAGCATCGATCCGCATGGTCGGCAGAGAATAGGTAGAAAGTCTTGCCAGCAATCGAATCAAGGCGAGGGCGACAACCCTGGTCCTCAGTTTGTCGCAGCAGCTCATAAGCTGCTTGTACTATCTCCTCCCTGCTGCTCTCAAGCTCTCGCTGACGTTGCCTCTCTGTCCGCCCGCGCTCTGTCACATCCCGTAGCTCCCGCTTCCTCTCTTCACGGTCGTCCCTCAGTTCGTAGTAGATATCTGCATCAGACCCGTCGTAAGACCTCTCGGACGAGGTATCTGCCGCGGCGGAATATAGCTGACACTCGCATTCTGGACCCTCGAGGCCACATTCACAATTGGCGTCTATCGCGTCGCTATCCCGTTCGCTGTTTTCGTCTACTTCGTCGATGTCTGAAAGATCCGCGTCGAAGTCTTCCGGGTATACTTCGCGGTCCTCATCGATGGTGAGCGCGATCAAACGGTAGTACCATGCAGGGAGCTCCGATCTGGGGCGGGCGCGACCCCGGTCGGGCGACGGAGTCCGCAGCCGCCTCATGCCCAAAGTGTGGCGCAACACTGGTCAGACCTTTGCGTTCGGAGTTCAGCACAATCGGAACTTCGCGGAGTCGGGGAACTGCCGTGGTGATTTGTTCTGAATCAGATGCTGGCGAAACTGCGGGGCGACCGAAATGAAATGCCGTTGGCGCCTGAGGCAGCCACCATTGGCCGCTACCCTGCACCAACTGACAGGAATTCGGCAGGCCTTCGGCGCCTTCCTCCGTCATCACACTTCTTGGCATGATATTCGAAGCGTCTGAGCAGCGGATCTTGTGGCATCTGGACTGATGGAAGTCCCGGCACGAGCGGTCGTCAACGCTTGCAGATTGGCAGAAGGTACAGTACTGTATCCTCAACATTGCTGTTCTGATGGTTGAGGCATTCAACAGCCATGACATTCTCGACTTTGAAGGACTGGCAAGGGCAGCCCGGTTTGCAGGAAGGCGATCGGCTTGTACGTGCTTGCCATCACGGTGCCAATATCCGAATTCTCGGCGTCAGACCGCTTATTAGCGAGGAAGTTGTGGCCTCCAAGCGTGACTTCCGGAAGAGGATGAGGAAGCATCTGGGTTAGCAAGGGGTCATCACTGGTGGGTTGTCCGCTTCTTGCCGCCACGGGGGCCGCTTTTCTCCCGCTTCCCCTTCATGTCCGCGGGTTTCGTTTCAGGTATTGGCCTTGCATGAGCGTCTCGCAAAGCTGGCAAACCTTCAGGAAGCAGACGAGCAGCGCAGGGAGCTTTGCGGCCATACGCAGGACTTCCAGACATTGAAGTCCAAGCGGGGTGGGCGTGGGGTTTGCTGTGGGTGTCAGGAGCAGTTGCCCACCCCACGCCTACAGATGGCCACAAGTGGCCTTTTACGTAAACGACAAGGATCATCAGGAACTGGCCGACGCAGCTTGTGGCCATCCAGCCATCCATGACGGGTTCTGTCGTGGGGGTAGCTGGGCGAATGACGGGCGATTGTCCACTTCGTGCCAAAATGGGTCCGCTAGGACCGGCCCCTCCCCCGCCGCTTCGGGTGGTCGGCTGTGGCCTTTCATGACCTCTTCTGTTCGTCACCAGACCTCATCGGGAAGTGGACGATGCCGGTACGCGGGGAGCTTGTGGCCTTTCACCATGGCTTCCAGAACTAGGAATATCAGGGCCGGCTTTGGCTGCGGGGATGGGTTTCTGGGGTTGTGGATGAGGTCGCGGAAGTTCACCTTTTGCCGCCATGGGGTGCTATTTCCGCACCCACAACCGACAGGGCTGCAGGTACCGTAGTCGACAAGATGGTCACTTGGAGCTGACGCGCCCTTCGCCCACAGGCTCGTTTCTGCGTTTTGGTCACCAGCGTTTGTCATCGGCGTCGCAAATCTCTCCAAGTGGACAACTGGCCGCCTTCGGACGCGGCAGCAGCATACGCACACGATACGCCCATCCAGAATTAGGTACTGTGACCCCCATAACGTCCTCACGGGAAAATGGACGCTCCCCACCATGTAACAACATCGAGAAGGTGACATGACCTGTAGCAGCCGACGACAGGCAGAGACTGGACGGCAGGAAGCGACGGACGCGGCAGCACGAGATGCCACCAGACGACGTCAGGAAGCCGACTTCGGTGCGACTGCATCTCGGCACAGGCTCCACATCAGCGAGCGGCATGTCTGGAACCGGACGACGCCGTCCACATGAAGGAATTGGACGAACCAGCACCTTTGTCCGTCTTCGCGCCCTGCATGGCCACCTTCGTCCGGGTCTGAATGTTGATTGGCCGGGCGGACGATGCGGCAACCGCCACTCCGCAGTGATCTGCACGGCGGAACTGGCCGTCGCCATGCAACCACGTGGCGAAGCTGACATGTACTGTAGCTGCCACACGCGACGCAAGAACTGGACGAAGTGGTTTCCCACACTTCGCAATGATCTGCACGGCAAGTTCTGGTTGCCGCTTCGTACCAATGTTGAGAAACCGACATGTACCGTAGCTGCCAACACGACGCAGAGAGAATTGGTCGGTGCACGTCCCTGCCCTGTCTGCATGTCAGGCATCGGACGAAGCGGGTCCCGGCCGCCGCATCCACTTACATGTTTCACGTCACTAATCGACCACGTCAGGGAGCGGAAGAAGTGAGATGCAGGCAAACGGCGCGACCAGAAGCCAACGATCGGTGGGTAACTGCCGCGTGAAGAAAAGGACAGTCGCACGCTCTTGAAAGAGTAATCTGCATGTCGAAAACTGGACGGCGTACCCGCAGCGTCGCACAGCACATGGCCCTGGCACACCACGCGAATCCAAATCAGCGAGCAGCATGACACGAGTTGGACGACGCTCTCTACGCACGGCACGGAGTGTCATGCTGCCACCTCATCTGGATGCAGCCCCATATCCAAATTCTTCTTTCTGATTGCGCGAGCCAGATTGACCACACCTGACCACACTTCAATGGTGTGGTCTGCTTGTCAGGAACCGGAAGACAAGGTAGCGGGAGACACCGCTCAACGACGCCCAGAAAGCGGCGTCTGGGTCTGGTCAACTGTCCACTTACTGTCCACTTACTCCATGTCCATACAGAACTGGGCGCGTGTTTCCGCAATGCCACAACTCGCCCCGGCTCGATGGCAATGCCCGTGTGGAATG